TTCTTTCTTTCTTTCTTTCTTTCTTTCTTTCTTTCTTTCTTTCTTTCTTTCATTCTTTTTAGGACATCTTCCTGTGAAAGGGCTGGGATGGTCAGCATCTCTGATTTTCAGCTGCTCAGAAACCTGGGCCCCCAGAAGATCCAGCAGCTGTCTGGCAGCCCCTCAGTCTTTTGGAAGGAAGTCTCTTGCACCCTACCCAATTACCAAGTTCCTAATCCCCTGTTTGTGTTCCCACTGTTGGCACTACCCCTCCCAAACACACACACACACACACACACACACACACACACACACACACACACCCTCAATGAGTTGGGACCTTCAGCACTTGCCGACTCCCAGCACTTGGGTCCCCTCCCATGGGCTGTTGCCTGGGGAACCAGGGAGCAGTGGGAACAAGTAGCTGGCCTCGGCATGTTTCAATCAAGTTGCTGTGCTAGGAGCTGCTTAATCAAAGGCCTGTTATGGGCTCATTAGTGTGGTCCACCATGGGCTGGCCCTCAGGAGAGCCCTGGGAAGGCTGGCTCAGATCCCGCCCTCCAGGCACGCACCCTTGATCACCAAGGGGTTTCTCAGGCTCTTTGCAGGGAGCCCTGGGAAACTCTCCATCTGACCTGCCCCAGCCAGCTGGGTTCTCAGCAGTGAAGCCAACACCCACATCAGCCGTCCTCCCCTCCTGAGAGCATCAGCGTTTTCTGCCTCTGACCGCTAGCCTGACTTTCCCTTTAGGGTCTTACCTCTGTGGTCACAGGCAGTTCCCAGGCTTGTGGGAACTTGGCTTGTAATGACTTGTGGGACTCTAGGTTGCCTCTCAAGGGCCAACTGTCTCCCCAGGAGTCTATAGGACTCCTGAAACCTGGGGATCCACTCAAAGTCACAGATCAAGCCTCACTATGCCGAGGGGCCCAGGCCTGTTTGGAGGGAGAACTCAACACGCAGAGACCTGCGCCTGCTTTTTACAAGCTCCTGGCATTCCTGGGTCTGGGGTGCCTCCTTGAGCAGGAGGCAGCTGAATGCAGCAGGCATAGGATGCGGAGAGACACAGCCTTCTGTCCTTTAGCTGCTGCTTGAACCAGCCCGTGTGAGTCACAGCTGAAGTGAGAGGGCCAGGGAGACTGTCTTGCATCAGCCTTCAGCAGCCTTAGAAGCACTCACTCCCAGCCCTGGCACCTTGTTCTGGCTGCCAGCCCAGGCTGCTTATCTCTTAGGGAAAGGCAAGGAAAAGCATCCACCCTCCCTGAGCTGGGAAAGGAAGACTGAAAGGAAAAGGGGAAGGTTAGGGAGCCAGAGCCCTTGAGCCCTTTTTCCAGAGCTGGTGGAATGGCCTCAGACAAGCTTCCACACCTACGTCATCCTGGGCTGCCACCTGGTCCCCTGCTTCCCACCACTTCAGGAGCACCCAGCTGTGGGGGAGTCAGGAAGCAAGGCACTGAGGAGGAAGGCAGGTGGAAACTCGAACATTAGGGGCTGCTCCAGAGCAGAGACTGGCCTCATCCACCTGCTTTGTGTCACTGTTAAGATCATAGAGCCTGTAAGTACAGAGCTACAGACCCTGGAACAGGCCTGCCAACGTTCTCTCCCTTCACTGGGAGCTGGGAGCTGTGGGTGCTTTTTCCTAAGGCCTGTTGACCCTGAGCTGTCAGTCTTGCAAGCAGAGCCCCACCCAGAGCCCAGTCAGTTCTGTCATCAGTTCTTAGCCAGGGCAATCTGAAGGAGAGAAGCTTCAGTCCCAGAGGTCACAGAGAGGTCATATGACCAAACATGAGATTATTTTTTTTAGGCCCTGCAATGCTTTCTCAGCTGTGTGGTGTCTGACAGCTCACCCAGGTGGCGCCCGTAGTCCCAGCCACTCCCTAGCCCAATAGGAGGCCCTGACTTGGGAGAAGACACGTCACAGCTGTTCTGAGTGGGGAACCTCTGCTGAACTCTGCCTCAGCCCAGGAACAGGCTCCCCAGATTCCTTTAGCCAAGGCCCTGCGTTCTTCTGTCCCCATGCACCCCTTTGGATGTTGTGTAAAAGGCGACCTGAGAGCCCCTAGCCCAGGCCCTGGCACTTCCTTTCTCCCACTGGTGGACCTGTAGGCTATACCTGCCTCCTTTGGACACCTTGGCTTGGGCTGTCTCAAGACCTCATGGTCCAGTCCTGTTTCTGAAATTCCCTGCTGTGTCGACAGAGCAGGAGTCTGACCCTATTTCTGGCCACCAAAGCCAACTTCTCACCACCCACCCAGAACAGGAAATGAGTGAGTGCCCTCACTGCTCACAAGCTCATGCCTCTGGCCCTCCCAGCATGGGAGTGTCTGCAGACTGTCTTCTGGCCTTTGTCTGCCTGTGCTGGAGGAAAGGGGAACAGCAGGCAGGAGTCCTTCTAGTCCCTGCCCCACTGCGATCATGGGTGCCAGAGCTGGGCCTTGGCAGGCCCTAGGCCCTGCCTCTGTAGAGAGCACATTTCCTTCCTGCAGAAAAGGAAAGGGAGGGAAAGAAAGCCAAACTTGCTGGGAAGCAGAACAACGTGTCAACACAAGGAGCAAACAAGGCCCAAGACAAAGTGTGGATTGTCATCATACCGAGGGGAAGGAATGGGCACTGTCAGCCACTCAGAAATCTGGTGACCGCAGACCTTGGAATGAGTGTCAGCCCTGTAGCAGTCCAGCCCCTGCCTGCAGCGCAGCCGGGCCTGCCCAGGGCAGGCACCAACAAAAGATCACTTTTCAGGTTCCTTTCTGGAACTTGCTGGAGCCTGGAGAATTGAGAGGTTGTTGACAGTCCTTTCTTACCACCAATGAGCCAGGTTGTTCGGCTGCGCTGTGCTCGTCCTGTGACGTGAGCCCACTGGAGTGAGCCACAAGCCTGGACTCAACCTTCTCTAGCTGACGGTGTCCTCAGTCAGTTGAGCAGGGGTAGAGCTGCAGCCACCAACTGTTGTGTACCCTATCTAGGTCCTCCTCCTCTGGGCCTCTTCCTCTCTTGGGGGCACCCGGTGAAAATGCAGGTGTTTTGCATTGCCTGGGGTGTACTGTTCTGGAGAGCATGTAGCCCAGCATTGCCATGTTCTCCAGAGCCCTCCAGGGGAACGTGTTGCTCACGTTGGACCAGGGGCTCTTCCTCTCCAACGAGAGGGTGTCTTCCTCCATGGCTATTTGTACATGAACCTCAGCGTTTTGTCCCAGTTCTTAGTGCATGCAAGCATAGTGGCATGCAGTGATCAATGTGATGATTAGTCAGTATATCTGCCACTCTTTTTCTGGGCTAGAGGAACTGTTAAAATGTGTGAGTTCAGAGTGAGGTGTGGTGGTGCAGGCCTTTAATCCCAATGGCTTGGGAGGCAGAGACAAGCAGAGCTCTGTGAATTTGAGACCAGCCTGGCTGACAGTGGAAGTTCCAGAACAGCCAGGACTAACTGGAGATGCTCTGCCTCAAAACATTGAAGCAGTACATAGCATGCCTTCCTTTTCAGTCAGCCAGCATGCTTCTTTTGTTTGTTGTGAGCAGCTGTGTGTTTGTGATACTCAGGCTCCAGCCCTGTTGAAATGAGAAGATAGACTCCTGGCGAGGTTGAGGGTGCTGTTCTCCCGGGCCACTGGTAAACGCTACCATCATCTCCCCCATCAGAAAAGGTTAGCCCTGAGTATGCACACCTTTAGAGTTGGCACACCTTCCCCAAATAGGAAAAGAGCCTGTGCCATCCCCACTAGGCAGGCCCTGTCCTCAGCACCCAGTCATCTGCACAGTGAGAACTGGGGTTGTCACCCTTGCGAGCCCGTCACAGGACTCAGCGAAGAGAACCGGGCAGCGCTTAGTGCTGATTGTGATTGGCCATTTTCGCTGTTGCGGTCCTCCACGTTCCTATTATTACTGTGGCAGAGGCTGGCCACTCTAAGGGGACAGGGAGCTCTAAGCCCTAGACCCGCACAGGCCTTTCCCACAGTGGCATCACAACGGCGAGTCTGTTCCCAGTGAGCACTCCCAGGAGCTACTCCATCAGAGCTGTCTATCTCCAGTATCCTGTTGATAAGATCTGTTAACATTCTCAGCTCCAGCTCTGAAATATACAAAGAACAGGGCCTGTTTGTTCAGTCCAGGCTTCTAAGGTTTAATTCCCAAAGGAAATTAAATCAGGTGCCTGGAGCTATGACAGTCTGTTGTGTTTCTCCGCAGAGAATGTCACCCTTAATATTATGTGGATCTCATGTATAATTTTTCCCCTTTAATTCTTTTTAAAACAATGTGGTTTCTAGCAGAAACCAGCAAATCATCAAAAGTGAAAATGAAAGAACAGCTAACATTTGTCCCCATTTTAGGGTCTTGTCACCCCCTCCCCCAGCAGAGTACAAAATGAAGTCCACACACAGATGGTGCCATGTTTGGTGGCAGCTCTGCTGAAAGCCTCCATAACTCATCAGTTCCAGACCTTTGACAGAAGGCCTGGCTTAGGACCTGACTGTTGGTGGCCTCACCTTTCCTGTTGTAGAAAAACACCCTTGGGAGTGTCCTTGGGTGGCCGCTGACCTTGGAAGCCCTCCCCCACCGCATCTTACTCCAGCCCTAAAGTCCCAGACCTATTTACCATTCTCTCGTAAAGCCCCTCCCTCCAGATTATTGTGGGTTAAAAAGGAGCCCCGCCTGGCCAGGACTGGAGTCATTGTAATATAACTGGGTTTGAGGTATGCTTGTGTTTGTGCTAGCCTTTTCAGAGATGGCAACAAGCCCCAGAAATGCCAAAAATATGAATGTGACTTTATATTACTCAAGCTGGACCGGTGATAAGCAGTGGAGAGACTCAGCTTGGAGGAGGGGGCCGATGGGATGAGAGGAGGAAGGCTAGTTGTGACTGGATGTGGCTGAGGACCAGAAAGCACCAGACAGACTGGAAAGAGCCAGCCAACCCCCTCTGGGGATCTTGCAGGAGGAAAAGGAATGAGTACCTTGGGTGGACGCTCCCCTGGACGCTGCTGGCGCTCTCTCCTGCTAGTGCTCTCCCTTCCTCCCTCCTTGTCTCCCTCATTCCTGGTCAGAGCTGTTTGCTCCTGTTTGGGGAAGGCGGGTCCTGTTCCTCTAGGGAGCTGCTGGCTGAGTGGGAAGTAGGCTTGCTTGTCCTAAAAGAATGAATATATGAGTCAGTGTCCTCCACCTCAGTGTCTAAGGCATCAAGTTTCAGGCCAAGACATGACGAGTGGGATAAGATCTTACCTTGGCCCCATAGGGTAGGTGCTATAACCTCCCTGTGCCTCAGTTTCCCCATCTGGAAAGAGAGAAGGTGGGAAGAGTCAGCATGGTGTGTGGTACGTCAGAGGTTTTCCTTCTCGCTTGTCACCACCATGCCATCAGCTTCCCATCCATCTTGCAAGCCCCTTTGCCTCTCCTTGCTCTGCATCTTCCTTTGACACTTCACTTTATCTCTTGGAAACTTCTGCTCTTACAGAGTGAGCAACTCCCAAGGGAGATTTAATGCTGTTTTCTCAAGTTTTTGATTCCCAACCTTCTGAAGGGAAGAGTTTCCCTCACTTTGGTTTGCACCTTCTTGCTGTCCTCCTCCTGTGCTCTGCCGAGTCTGCCCCACACTAGTGGAGAGGCCCTGTGGGTAAAGGCGGGGAGGATGGATTAGGAAGGGCCAGGATCCGCAAGCAGAGTGTGGAGGAGCCTGGCCAGCTCAGCTGCCTGGGAGAGCCAGCAGCTGAGAAAGTGGCTTGACAGGGCTCTGAGTTGCTGTGGACCTTTCCACTGGCTGAGAAAACTTGCCGAGGGCATAAGGAAGGTGAGGATTCCAGCCAAACAGTGGGGCTAGATGGTCTGGGACACCAAAGCCTGTGGGTAACAGGCATCAGAACAGAAGAGCAGAGCCGGGGGGGGGGGGGGGAAGACCCAGAGAAGAGGTGTCTCCAGCCTAGAAGAGCATGGCTGCCGACTGGGGCCTGCAGGGATAGTCCGAGAGATGACCCTGCGGCTGGAGAGGCTGGAGAGGGGAGCTGAGAGCCCCGTGCCCCTCCGTGAAGACACAGGCACTCTCATCCTCCAAGTTCTCTAGCTCAGATTTTTTTTTCCTGGTTGTTACCTGCTCTCCCCCTCCCCCAGGGGTAAGGATGGGACCCAGGACTTTCCACGTGTTAAGCTTGTGCTCCTCCAGTGGGGTGCAACTAAGTCCCAAACAGGATTTGCATTCCCGAGTCAAACAGTCCTGCATGGCTGGGAAGAGGGGATGGGGACATGTGAGCCTGATCAAGCAAGAACCTTGGCAAGAGCTCTCCCATGGCCTTTGGCTTTCCTGTCCCTCTCTGTAGCCCTGCAGCTTCTAGAAGACCAGACATCTCAAAGAGGTGGGCTTCCAGCTCCCTTCCGAGGCCAGCACTGCCCACCTTCCAGAGGTCATTCCTTTCTCCAGTGACCCCGCCCCACCTCTCTGACCTTCTCTAGTCTTACAAGTAGGTGGTGGTGAGCCGGGCATGGTGGCGCACGCCTGTGATCCCAGCACTCAGTGAGGCAGAGGCAGGCGGATCTCTGTGAATTCAAGGCCAGCATGGTCTGCAAAGAGAGTCCAGGACAGCCAAGGCTACACAGTGAAACCTTATCTTGAAAACAAACAAATAAAAAACAAGCAGGGGATGGTGAGAAGCATTGAGAGTGTACAGTTCCGCCTCACCCCACCAAGCAATAAGTACTGCCCTCTGTCCCTAGAGCCAATCAATGGTTCCTCCCTTCTCCATAGCTCAAAGAAACATCCTGGGGCTGGAGGGATGGCTCAGAGATTAAGAGCACTGGTTGCTCTTCCAAAGGTCCTGAGTTCAATTCCCAGCAACCACATGGTGGCTCACAACCATCTGTAGTAAAATCTAATGCCCTCTGCTGTCCTGAGGCACACATGCAGGCAGAACACTGAATAAATAATAAATCTTTAAAAAAAAAAAAAAAAAGAAACATCCCTAGCTTGGCAGATGGCAAAAAGACATGTGTGTGTGTGTGTGTGTGTGTGTGTGTGTGTGTGTGTATAATTTTATTTTATTTTTTTAAATAAAAACCCACCTTTTGCTTTCTTTCCCAGATTCTGTTGACAGAAGAGTTTGTAGAAAAGATGTTGGAGGACTTAGAAGATCTGACTTCTCCAGCAGAAGTAAGCCTGCTTGATTTCTCAGTCGCAGAGGGGCCGGGCTGAAGAATGTGGGCCTGTGTATATTTGTACACCTGTGTGTGTGTGTGTGTGTGTGTAGGAGCACGTGTATGCACGTATTCACACGTCTGTGGGCTCTTTTCTGAAGAACAGGGATAATCTGGAGAGGAGCCCCTGAGAACATTAAATGACTTATTTTTCTTCTGTTTCCCAAACCACTCCTGCCCCGCCCCCACCCTTGTGAGGACACCCAGCAGACTGTCTGAATTGCCAGCTCTTGTGAACCTCATTGAAGCAGCAGCCAGGGCCTTCAGGCTAGAGTTCTCCCCAGCCCCTGCCGTTCCCTGGCAGGTTCTGAACAGAAAGCTCATGTCTGCTGCCAGAGAACATTCCACTGGGGAGTTCTAGCGGGCAGAAGGGACTCCTGCTCTTGCCTTGGGCCACCCAAGAGCCACACTCCTTCCTTCTTCAGCCAGAGCTTGCCTCTCTCAGCCTCTTCCTGGCTAGCTCAGAGCCTGAGAAAGGCAGGCCAGGTGGGGTGAGGCCTCCCCTTGGCTCCTTCTCTGGGGTACAGGAATGGAGTCCATAATCCCTTTTGTTTTTCTTCCTTGTTCCTGGCCTCCTCATTTACAGGAACTTACCTCATCCTGGAAAGTCCCTTTCCCTTCTCTTGCCTCCTGTAACAGCACCCAGGCAGCAGGCAGGCAAGCCTTCCTGGCCCCAGTGTTCCATGGGATAGTGGGACGTTAGCAAGCTTCCCAGGCCTCTGAAGAAACTTCTGGCCCTCCCCTGCCTGTGGCAGAGACTGACCCTTCCCTCCCTCTGCCCTAATGTGCTTGAGGCAAAGAGAGCTCCCTTACCTCCCAGGGGCCAGGCAGTAGCCTCCAGGCTCTCCCAGGGCAGCACAAGCCCTGCTGTTTAAGAAGTTGAGGAAAAAGACTCAGGGTACTCCTCAGAGCTCGTATCTAGCTCCCAATAGAGCCATGTCTTAGCTGCCCCCATGCCAGGGATCCGGCTTGATCAATTCACTCATTTGCATATTTCAAGGTTATCAAGCACATGATCTGTGCCAGCCAGTCACCCCTACAAGTCACTGCCTCAGAGGCCTAGCTCCCCCATTCAGTCAGGCCAAAGCCAGCTGCCCAGAAGTGCTTCCGGAGAGGTCTTGTCACACTGCAATGGCATTATGCCAAGCTGCTGCTTTGAGCTTGGGTGTTGAGTGGGCGGGAGGGGGATAGTCCAGGCAAGAGAGACAGGAGCCAAGGGGAGCGTAGGAAAGTAGGTCACTAAAAATGATTTCTTTTTTTCCTTTCCTGTCCAGAGGCTATCCCCACACCCTGCCCCAGCCTCCACTTTGTCCTGGGTCTAGAGCTCCCCAAGAGAGGGAGGGCAAAGGGAGCCAGGCAGGAAGTGTCAGTCTGTTTCCCTCCAGCTCTCCAGGCAGGCTGGAACATGATTCTTTCCTCCTCTCCCTGGCCCCGACTTGCAGCCTAGCCCCGAGACAACAGGAGTTATCAGAGCTCCTGCACTAACCCCAAGTCAGTGAGAATTGATTGAGCACCAGCTGTGTGCTAGGCCACAGGCAAGGTTCTAGAACACAGAAGGAATAAGAAGCCAGCCGCAACCCCTCTCCCAAGCAGAAGAGCCAGGTAAGGGAGAGAAATAAAACATCATTGATTTCTAACTAGAAAGAACTTGGAAGACCTTGGCTCTCCTCTGGAACCACTAGACAAAGAACCCTGGGAAGCAGGGGGAAGGGGGAGCAAGTAGCAGAGAATTTCTTCTTCCGAGAATACTCAAACCTCCTTCATCCTGTACTTCCTATCCCGGTACCGCACTGTTTGGGATCTGATTTGGGGCTGAACAGCCTCCTTCCTTGTGGACCCTTTGACAAATCTATGGTTCCAGACTCTCCCACACTAGCCTCAGAAAGAGAGTCAATGACAGTGACAGGCCTCTTCCCTGTAATGTCTACTCCCTCCTGGTCCCCCATCCTCCAGCCCCAGGGCCTCAGAGAGCAGATTCCTTACATGCTTGTGGCTGGAGGCAGAACCAAGGAAATGAGCAGGAGGGCAGTCTACACAGTCCAAGAACTAGAGGGCATGCCTTCTCCAACCTGATGAGTTACTGGCAGTGCAAGAGGAAGGGAGCAACTGGATGAGCCACACACACTGGCAGGCACACACACGCACACACACACACGCACATGCCCTGGGTCTAGGATTTGAGAGGTCCCCAGCAGCCTAGGGACAGAGTCTGGGCCAGTGTGCTGCTCTCTCTGGGCACTGTCCTGGAAGGCGGCAGCTAACCATTCTGTGCTTGCTCCCTCCACAGTTTAAACTTCCCAAAGAGTACAGCTGGCCCGAAAAGAAGCTCAAAGTGTCCATCCTCCCTGACGTGGTGTTTGACAGTCCACTGCACTAGCCTGGGCCCTGCAGGGGCCGAGAGGAGCTCAGTTGTGCCCAGTGATTTCAGTGTGACAGCTTGTGAGGAGACTCCCACGAATAAAAGGACAAGAGTGAGGGTGACTGCAGAGTGCCACACCCACCGCAGGCCCCGCCTCACCTCCGGCTCATGGGCCTCACTGCCAGCTGCCAAGCCCATGTGACCAGGCCCCTGTCCTTCATGCCAGTGATGGAGTGAGGCTGCACCTGCAAACCCTCCTCACCCGCCCACTGCTGCCACAGGGTTAACTGGTGTGCTCCTGGGAGAGGCACCGCCACACAGCCTGGGGTACAGAGCACACTTGAGGATGCACTGCCTGGTTCAACCTCAGCTTTTGCTCAGTCAGGCTGCTCCAGCCTGTGGAACGATGGCTCTGGTCACGATTACTTTTTCCTTCCTTAGTATGTTGGAAACCGGATGGTATTTTTATTGCTCAGCAAAGACGGTCCAGAAGCCGTGTATATAGTGATTTTTAAACAGGACTTCTTCCTTGATGAACTTCACCATTCCCTTAGACAGGAGTCTGGGAGCTCTGCCTGAGAAGTGCTTGGTGCTGCCTGTCAGCTCTGGGCCCTGGAAGGAGCCCGGGAGCAGCTGACACACACCCATGCAGTGTTGGGTTCAGATTTGCTGTGACCTGGAAGGGGTGCCGCTGCCTTCCAAGTGAATCAGACTTGTACAAGGCTCTGGAGACTTTAGCACTCAGGGACGAGGTGGCCCTAGCTATGTCTTCCAGTCTTTTTCTACCCAACCATGCCTGCCGAGGAGAGGGTGAAGCCCATAGCCTCCCCATCCTGCTACCCAGGGCCTTCAGCTCTTTGATAACCCCCCCATCATAGCCTACTTGGGCTGTAGGGGTCTAGCTTATGAAAAATGAAAAATCAACCTCTCCCCAGCCCCTCCCTTTGATTTTGCTGACACTGCTCTCTGGCCCTCCATTTTTCCTATATCTATTTTTTTACTCATCTTTCATCCTTGTCTTTTCCTTCTGGGGGGCCTCATTCTCTCAAACCCAGAACTACAGATCTGCCTGCCTTCCAGGAGCCACCCTATCTCTGGTCACCTTTGGGAGCTGCTTCCCACATCTGACCTGGGATTGGCAAGCCCCTTTCCTGCACTCTTGCCTTCTACTCTAGGTCTGATGTTCTTTGTTCATTCTTTAAGTTCAGATATCTCCAAAGGAAAGACATTTTGTCTGTCAGGGACCTTGCAAGAGCTCCCCAGCTCTGTGTGCCTCCACCAGGGTACCCCAGGAGGTCCACAGGTGTACAGCCTTCTGCAGGCTGGTCCCGCCAAAGAGCTGCCTCCAGGGGCCTTGAAGGCCCTGGCTGGGGTCTCGAAGAAGCAGAAATTAGCCTTTCAAAAAATGACTCAATCTGCTCCTTTCTGCATATCCGGGTCTAAGATGTTAATTCCAAGGCCAGCACTTGGAGGCAGACCCATCTGGAGCATGAGAAAGGCTGGCTGCAGCCCTCAGCAGCCAAGATACAAGCCTGTCTGGAACACACACCATGCTGCCCTGACTTTTCCACAAGGACACTTCCAAGCCCACCTTTAAAGCTCGTTTATGGGCCAAGAGATGCTTACACTTTGCCTCCATTCCTTGCCATCTTGACCCTAATTCTCCCTGGAGACCTGCCTAAGGGGATCCCTGCTTGCATTCTGCCCTACGTCCATTTGCCTGGTGTGTGGCTGAGAATGCATGCTATGAGCTAAGTGTTGTCCTTAGCATGTGAGACTCCTGGTCAACAGCTTGCACTAGGCCTGCAAGGTCTTTGCAGATGATGGTTGTCCCCAGCTTCTTGGTGGCCCCCGCTTTGGGGAGCAGGGAATGACAGGTAAGCTCCAGATAGCCACCAGCCCTGAGGTGTCTCCTGCCCCCATCCTGTCAGGAACCTCAGGAATGTCTAAAATCCTGCTGGGACCAGGACCCCGTCAGTCCTCAGAGTGCAGTGGCTCTAGTAGCAGGGCTGGTCTCAGCCTGATCTGACCAGGCCTCCTTCCAAAGGGATCTCAGGGAAGAGGTTCACCATTAAGCTGCTGGCTGGAGAGAAGAGCCCCCAACATCTGATGGAGCAAGACTGACCTTACCGTGACAAGTGATGGGCGCTCTCCGTGGGGCTTCTCTTTCCCTCTCTGCAGCCCTCTGGGGCTGATGACCCATCACAGGGAGGGGCTTAGGGGTCTTCCCCCCATCTTCCACAGACTTCCTCCAACCTTTCCCCATCCTTCAACCTTCCAGGTCCACAGGACTAGGGTTTCTGAAAGGAAAGGGCTCGGACTTGCTAACTAAAGCTTCCCAGGGCCTGTGTGGGCTGCAGAGGGTGGTGGTCCTAGCTCCATGCTGGGGACACAGTGTCCCTCTTCTTCCAAGAGTGACAGGCTGCGAAGGGCCTGTGGAGGCCTTAAGGAGTCTAAAAGGGCTAGGACCCCTGCACTCCAGATGCTGGGTCCTGGGACTGAGTTTTGAGATTGAGAGCAGGGAGACCCTGAAGTTCGGAGCCCCTATGGGGCAGATGAGCAGAAAACTCCCTGAACTGTATTTTTTTAACCTGGTCTTCCCTCTCTGGCATCCATGGTCTTGGTGTCAGGTGAGGTGTCCGGGTCCCTGTTACAAGTCAGGAGCCCTGTACGGAGACCCCTTCTTTTGTACAAAGATCTGAATGCTGCAATGAACAGACGTTTGTACATTTTTATATTAGTTTTTAATGTCAGTGGCGACTCAGTTCCTGAGGCTACAGCTGGCTCAGGACTTTTGTAAGAAATTTTGAGTGACTCACTTAGATTTTGTTCCTACTTGCCCCTCTTCCTCTGTGTAATCTAAGTGCATTAAACATATCTGCGGACGTGTCTGGGTGTGTGCTTCTTTCTGGCATGCTAGGATTGAAGTGCAATGAACGATCCTGAGGGGTACCCAGGTGCTAAGCAGGTACTCTGCCACTAAGACACACACACACACACACACACACACACACACACACACACACACACAGCCCTCCTTTATAGACCTTGTTTTCCTAAGGTCAAAGGAGGTTGGGGCTGGGCAATAGGTGGGTGGCATCTTCTCTGTTTTCCTTCCTTCTTTGGGTTTTGGTTGGTGGTGGTGGTGGTGGTGGTGGTGGTGCTGCTGCTGCTGCTCGTTGGTTGGTTTTTCAAGACAGGATAGCCTTGAGCTCACAGAGGTCCGCCTGTTTCTGCCTTTAATCTGCTGGGATTAAAGGCGTGTGGTACTACTTCCAGCTTGTTTGTATGTTTGTTTGAGAGGGTCTCAGCCTGTAGCCCAAGCTAGCCTTGAAGTCATCATCTTGGGCCTCCCAAGTGCCAGAATTACAAGTATGATGTACCAGCACACCCCTGGCTGTTGCCTCCTCTTCTGCACACTCTCATCAGAAGCACTTTGCCCTTGGTTCCAGAGGGGCCCAAAGGTGAGAAAGGCACATTTCTCCCCTCCAGTTCTGTGAGTCTTTGTTCTCCCTTACAGCTAGCCATTCTAGCAGGTATCTAAATTCAGCCCCTCTCCAAGGGCCTGGGGCTGTGCTTAGGTTTGGGAATCTCAGAACCAGGCGACACAGGCCAGCTCATCCTTCTAGGAACACCCAAGCTAGGCAAAGATGGTGGTGTGCCATCCTTCCCTGGGCTGCCCAATGGCATCTGCCTTTGGAGGGCCCCCTTTTCAACTGAGGCCAGTGCTGGGGGAAGGGAGGAAGCAGCCTAGGTGTGGCAGTGGCAGCATTCTCGAAGGATTCTTGGAACACTTGAAACCACCTGGGGCCTTCCACATTCTTTCCCTTCCTGCTAGGCCTAGTTTTCTGTCCTATCAAGTGACAGGGCCTTTCTCCTGATCTTCAGGATGGGCTGGTAGCACTCAGGGGACTACACCAGGACGAGTGACAGGTCTTGAGATGGTCTTGAGGCAGAGGGGATTTCAGCTCCCATACCTAGGCTCTTAATGCTCCTTTCTCATTTTCTGTGACCTCTAACTGTCTGGGGGCCTTCCAAAGAAAGAAGTCAGTGTCCATCTTGCCCCTGTGACCTCCTCCTGAACTCTAGGAACGGCTGGCACCTGAGCAATGGAGTAGGTCCTGCCTGAACCCTTGGTCCCCACAGTGCACAGGACAAGAGAACAAGTGGGAGGGTCTGAAGCCAAATTGACAGGCCCAGAGTATTCCAGGTCATGCCCCCCTCCTCAATTCACCCTCCTCACCTAACTGACCAGGAACGCTCAGGAGTCAGGGACGGGACCATCTTGCCCCAAAGGGCACAGAACAGGGAGGTCTGTGGGAGACAGTATCAGGCCAAGGTTGTGCTGAAAGACAAGGGCTTTCTGGAGACCTGGTCTCTAGGGCAGAAACATCAATTTAAAGACTTAAGGACAGAGATCTGCCGTGTGGTCTTAAACATCCCCCCCTAGGAAGACCTGGACATTTCTGTGGACATCTATTCTGCCTCTTCTGGGTCCTGTGGTGAGGGCTGCTGCTGCAGTACTGTGGGCCTGAGGAGCCCAAGGGATTTGCCAAACTGGCCCAACCACAAGGGAATGCAAGCTAGAAGTGACTGCCCCGGGGCCTGCCAGGTTTTGAGGCAGCTGCAGGCACTGAGAGAGAGGGAGGCCTGGGAGGGCCGGTGGGATGAGGGTGTGATTTGCTGAGCAGGACGAAGCGATGGGTTCCCAGCCTACAAAGGCAGGTCAGGATGTGGTCTGGGAGGGGCAGCCCTTCTGGGGCACACAGTGAACCTGAGCCAGTCCTCTGCTGACTCAGGAAGTCTAGGAGAGGCTAACGAGATGTTTCTGCTGCCAAGCCTGATGACCTGAGTTGGAATACCCCCAACCCACATGGTAGAAAGAGAGAACTAACACCCCCAAGTAATCCTCTCACCTCCGTATGGGCGCCGTGGTGTGTGTGTGCATGTGCACATAAACATTTAGGATGATTTTTGGAGAGGGGTTGTTTTGAGACAGGGTTTCTCCAGATCGTTTTGCTATGCCTTGAGCCCACAATGTAGGCCAGGCTAGCCTCAGACTCACAGAGATCCAACTGCTTCAACTTCCTTCTGAGTGCTGGAATTAAATGCACTACCATGCCCAGCACACACACAAATATTTAAATATATATTTAATTATTTAGTTAATATATATTGTTTACTTAATTATATATTTAATATATATGTTGATGCCTGGGAGAGTTAAGGGCAAACAGAAGGTAGAAAGCCCCTGATTGCTATTGGATACTCTTAGTGAGCATAGCTGAGCAATGTGGGGTGAAGGATACTTTGAGGGGATTATAATTATGGTGGTAGTCTTTTTGAAGCAGGGGGGTCAAGGACAACCCACTGTGTCTGTGGCTTGCCCATCCCACTCACACCCACCCTCGGTCTCAGCAGAGGCCTTAGGGCAGGGAACACGAGCTAGGGGGCAATCATGTCAACAACCCAGCACAGTAACATTTGTGAATGCCTTTAATTCCAAAACTTGGGAGGGAGAGGCAGGCAGATTTGAGGTCAGCCTGGTCTACTAGTGCATTCCAGGCCAGCCACCAGAGCCTACATGGTGAGATCCTGTTGTTTTGGTTTTTGTTTGTTTGTTTTGCTGGGGGAGCCAGCAACATGGCTCCGTTGCCACCAAGCCTGACAACCTGAATTTGATTTCGGGGACCCTGCAAGTTGCCCTCTGACCTCCACGTGCCTGCTGTGCTAGGCTTTCACGTGTTCCAGCTGGCATCTAACTTAGGTCATGCATTCACCCCTACATGCAATTTAGGTCCTCGGCAAGCACTCTTTACCGCTGAGCCATCACTGCTCTGCCCCAGGAGAATTTTTTTTTTTTTTTTTTACTGGAAATTATCAGCGGTTTGTATGTCAGGATTTTTATATGCCAAGAAGTGGACACAGGCCCGGAGTGAGGGTAAGACAGGACAGGCACTGCAAGGAAGCACAGTGAGAGACTCTGTGACGGGCTAGGTCGACTAGCCTGAGCCTCGGTGTCTTCATCTGCAATGGGTGCATCACTAAGTTCTTGCAGGGACTTTGGGGGGCATACCTGAGGCTGTCTGGCTGCATTTGCTGTTTGCTTGTTTGTTTGTTTGTTGTTTGTTTTTTAAGCAGGGAATCGCTACGTTGCTCCAGGTGTCCTGTGTAGACAAGGCTGGCTTCTAACAAAGAAATCCGACTGCCTCTGGCTCCCGAATGCTGCTATCAAAGGCACATCTGGCCTGCCTTTGCCATCCGCTAAAGCATTCAGGCCAGTCTGCTGAAACCATATATGGGTAGATAAATAGACATAGACATATAGCTAAACATCGTCTAGATAGTAGATATTTGGCTTTTATTTATTTTGATGTGTATAGGCACTTAGCCTGTTTTTCTGTATGTGCATCACATATGTGCCTAGTGCTCACAGAGGTCAGAAGAGGACGTCAGATTTCCTAGAACTGGAGTTATAGCTGGCTGTGCGCCACCCATGGGTGCTGGGAACTGAAGGGCCTCGGCAGAGCAACAGGCGTTCTCAACTGCTGAGGCATGTCTCCAGCCCCAATTATTTTTTGTTTGTTTGTTTTTGAGGCAGGGCTTCTCTGTGTAGCCTTAGCTGTCCTGAACTCGCTTTGTAGACCAGGCTGGCCTTGAACTCAGAGGTCCCCCTGCCTCCGCCTCGCCTCCCGGAGTGCTGGGAAGCCCCACTGTTTTTGAAAGGCAGATTACACAGGCCACAGGCCGGTGCCATACTACATGCCAACAATCCCATCTCTTGGGAGTGAAAATAGGATCAGGAGTTTGAGGCCAGTCTGGGCTACATGAGGCCCCGTCTCAAACAAGCAAGCATGCAAACAAACAAAAACAGAATGCACATGTTCGTGGAGATACATGGTGTGAAGAAATCAGGAGACTGAGGGGTGCATTTTAAATAGGTCAGGGAAAGCCTGAGGCATAGCTGATATTTGAAGAAGAGGTCTCTGTGGCAGGAATAAGTGAGCTATAGAAGCCTCTGGGAGGAGAACGGGTCAGGCAAGGGAAGAGCATGCAACGATGAGACTGTGACACAAGCGTGTTTGAGGAACCGCAGGGAAGCAGGTGCCTGGAACTGAATGAGGTGCTTGGCTAGTTACACAGAGGCTAGGTTGTTTAGGTTCTTCAAGGCAGTTGTAACACCCTGGATTTGGATTTTTATCTGAGCAGCTACCGGAAGAGCCTGAGCGGAGGAGTGACAATCTGACATTTATTGTTCATCTTATTTAGAGACAAGATCTAGGTTACCCCAGCTAGATTCTGAAATTTGGCTCAGCATCCACTTGGCTCAGTTTCCCTTTGCCGGGATCACAGGAGGGTGCTACTCTGCCTGCTTTGTTTGGTTTTTGAGAAGCGCTCTGTCCTGGTTAACAGTCAATTTGACAGGATCTGGGTTCACCTGGAAGGCAAGGCCCTGGGCACGCACAGTAGGGATTGTCTAGGTTAGGTTAGCCTGTAGGCCTGACAGTCAGGGGTTATCAAAAGGAGATTGTCTGAGAAGGCAAGACCCACCTAACTGTAGGCAGCTCCATCGCGTGGGCCACATCCTAGGCTAAAAAGAACCAAATAGAACATTCAGCTCCCTGACTGTGGGAGCAGTGTGGCCTCCTCCGGCTACCATAGCTTCCTCACTGCAGTGGACTGCATCCACTGTGAGCCAAAATAAACCCTCCCTGGTTGGGAGGGCCAAGGGGTTGAGACAGGGTTTTTCTGAGTAGCCCTGGCTGTCCTGGAACTTACTTTGTATAGCATGCTAGCTTGGAACTCACAGAGATATGTTTGCCTCTGCCTCTAAGTGCTAAGATTAAAGACCTTCATCACCACCCCCCTGCTAAACCCTTCTTTAAACT